TGGGCACTGATGCTGTGCGCATCAGCAGCCCCCAAGGCCTGGGCTATCCAGTCCTCCCTGCCTTGACTTACCAATCTACCCTGTTTCACCGCTGCAGTTGTAATTTGAAGCTTTTCTAGATGATGACAAATCACACGTAAAACAGGAGAGGAATAAAACAGCATAATGAAATTTTATTCTGAAAATATGGCAAGACTCTAAGGCACTTCAAACATTTCAATACACATGACTAAAGTGAATGTGACAAGGTAATAGCATTCCATAAATATGCACCGAGAACTATGCTCAATTCCACTCAAGGGGAATATACAGCTGGTACCTCTAATTTTACTCTCCAATAAACATGTATGGAGCTTATAGACTGACACAGTTAATAAAAATATGGTAACAGGACATGTAATTCTTCATGTAGTTTTTAATTATTAAGGAATATAAAATGTTGAAAATACTGTGTGAGTTAATTTTATAGATACTAGTATCTTTCATATAAAAAGTTATACATTATCCCCAATTAGCAACAACTTATTTAGTGAACTTCAGACCTGACAAGAAGCTCTATCCCCAACACCTACCTACCCGCTCACCCACCAGCTCAAGATCCACAGAGCTGACTATATAAGCAACTGCAACTTCTGAATTTCAAAGTAATTAAAAACATCAGAATCATGTTGGAATGAAATTTATGAAAAGGCTACTGTGATAAAGTCCAGGCACCATAAACATAAGTATGTTTTAGAATGATTAAAAACAAGCCACTGCGACACCGCTGCATGAAGCCCTAGGCTGCACATAACATAGGAAAGGATAATCTACAGCAAAGAAAAACAGGATTTATGCCAGTGTACGGGAAGACAAGAAAGTGAGCAAAAAGAACAGTACTGGCTAAGGTTCTCAGCTGAACACTACATAACTATATGCTTGCTTCAAGTTTACAGTTTTCTATCTTTACCACTAGATCTCTGCTTTCACTTTGCTGGTGAGTTCAGGCACAAGACAATTACATTCAGTATCTGTCTCAGTAAAACAGTAACATTTAGCAGCTTGAAGATGGCATAGAGATTTTTACAGATATTCATGCGCTACTACTCAAATGTGGCTCTGTGGGTGGGACCAGGAGATGTCTTTCTGCTAAGCCTCGGAGTGCCCTAGAAAAAAGGAAGGAAAAATTAATCAAAGGGAAATTATTCCAGCCAGCCCTCACAAAGCACTCTGTGCAATCCCTTGCCTGTAATTGCACAGATTAATCTTTCTTTTTCTTTTTTTTTTTTTTCATTCTAGAAGAACAGCGCCTGCTATCATACAGCCTACTAACTGAGAGTGCATGTTGTTTAGACAGTGAAACATTTAGCAGCAGTTTATCAGGAGAGTGAGTCAGGGCTTGGAGAGCAGGTGGATAGTTGTAAGAACACCTAGGACAGCTGTAACTGCAGAAACAGCTGTGTTTTGGTGACCAGGTCAATAATCAGCATTACAATGATGCAACAGCACCTCTGCACACTAGCCAGACTCAGTGAACCCTGCTAGTGAACTATTTGTACCCCCAGATAAGAGGGAGGAGAAGGAAGAGAAGGAGGAAGAAGAGGAGAAGGAAGAGGTATCCTACAGACAGGGTTCAGCCTTCTGCAGTCAACCTGTATCTAAAAATGTACATTCCACTTACCAGTATAAAAAGCATCCTGTGAATAAACCTGCAATTTTGTGTGCTGCACTGCTGGACAGCTGCCTGGGGGTTAATCTTTTGTTTACGTTTTACTATTATGTTCAGGAGCAGCCAGTTAAAACACAAACTGTAGGAGGTTGTGTACTAACCGGTGACTGGGTTTTGGAAAAGTTGACATGGGCATAAAGGAGAACCGCTATGTCCTTATGTCCAGCTTCCAGGGCTATTGAAAGTGCTGTGCTGCCATCCTAAGAGAGGAAAGGAAGAAATAAGAAAATTAGTGCTCGTTTGTATTAACAGACCTCTTAAAAGCCCCATCAGCCCACAGAAAGGAAGTTATGAAACGGAGGCCCTACTGGTCAGACAGACCATTGGGTTAATTTAGAGTCTTATTTAATTTATTATAATTAAGTGACAATAAGCCTTGCACTGCTATTTTATGAGGCACTCCAGTTGTCAGAGGTCTCATAATTCCTTTCAATGAGAGGTCTCAATTATTGCTGAGGAAGAAAGAACATGCCATTATCACAATAATGTTACATGTAATGCTGTATAAGACCAGTGATTTCAGAAGATTGGACTGTCCAACAATATCACTGAGGAGTCAAAGAGAAGATAAGGGAGGGATAAATGCTGATCAAATATCATAATTGCTATGTTACAATGATAATTGTTGTGTTATATCTCCCATTAACACTATGAGCAGTTTCATTAATAATTGCGAGTGCTCCTTGATGGAAGTCTAACTACAAACAAATGGACTCTCCTGCTCAAATACTGTCACCTCATTTTCTCAGAAGATATTATGCCTTTCAGAAACCATAGTTGTTGAGGCTGCTAGAAGCAAAGAGTGCTGTTGCTGAAAGGGTAATTTATTGACCTGGTGTCTTCCCTTTAGACCATGTTTGGTCCAGGAAGATGATGTCAGACAACCTGTAATGTGAACCTCTCGGCTGTCAGAAAGGCACACTTGTATGAAGCTGCCACATCCCCAACTCTGCCTTCCTGGCTTCCTTCCCTTCCTGAAACTGGTGCATCATGTGGCTACAATGCCCTGCTCTCCAATGGGGCTTAAATTACAAGGCAGGCAGCTACAACCTCAGCACAAATCTCACAGTGGCTTGCTGGTCCACAGCCTGGCTTTTGGCTCTTGCGCACAGAAGTTTCCACAACAATGCCAGTATTTGAAATGTCCTCTCATGTTGGTTCTGCATGGAGTATGTTTGCCAGCCACTGCCATAGCACTAGTATAAGAGAGGTTGGCACAACTTTAAGGAAACTGTAAATCCTTTTTCCAGGATGGGGCACAATGAAGACTTTCATTGACTTTCCACCCAAGTGGAAAGTCTTCTTATGAGACTACAGAGAGTGATTAACACATACATTTAACTGTCCTAAGCAGACAGGGAGCTATAAGAGCTGTCCACTACACTGCAATGTAATAAACTACAAATGTACAACAAATACTCCACAGTCAACATCAGGAAAAGCCAACTTCTCAGAGATGCTGAATCACTGTCAGAGTGGCACACATCAGTAGGATGAGGCTCAGCTTACTACCGATTATACTGACTAGAAAAGCATCTCTGTCACATTCAGAATAGCTAGTGGAATGCTAAAAATCTCATAATCTTGCAGCACAGACAAACCCATTATAAAATGAATAAGCAGCAGACAAGCTGTGCTTGAGAAACAGTATTAAACTGCCTACAGGAATAGTTAAGTGTCATGTCCACTCAAAGACTTGCAGTAACCTAGACTGCCCCTCAAAGTGTTTGTTACACTGAGGCCTTCTTCTATTTTTCTTCAGGTCAGCTGGCATGCCGCTGGCACCATTGGGAACCGAGCTGGCTCCTGCAGCAGGTGAGTAAATGAACAGAAATTATGTCTCTGCCTCTCTGCAACAGCTTCAACAAATAACCACCCACTGCCCTCCCAAATCCCAAACCCAGGCTCCACTTCTGTGCTCAGTGGGTGAAAGCAAAAGGAAGAACGTAAACCTACCCATGAAGTGATGTTGTTAACAAGAACCCAGTACTGCCAAGAAACCAGCAAAGTCAACATTTTCAAGCTTGAGAAGTCTGACAGTATAGGCTGCAATGATTCTTGCAAACAAGAAATATGCAAGTGTCCCACTTGGCACTTAAGTCAGAGTCTGTATCTGTTCATTGTCAGGACAATGTACCTTCATGACTGAGACCAAACCTGCACTCTCAAAAGTCATGGTGTAGATACTGTATGAACATTCTGTGAAGAGAACTGCAGGGCTGATGTTTGCCATGGACACAAAAAAGCAACACAGCAAGTCACCAGCTAAGGTCCTAACTGAAAACTGGAAGACTCCTGGGAAAGGGAGAAAGAACATGAGACAGGAAGATGTTTTACCATGAACTAGCAAATATTTTTTCTGTTCTGGCCACTGCACACCTACAGCTAACTATAAAAATTACTACTGGGTAGGTCTGTTAGAAAAGCAAAGATACTAGCCAAATAATGACAGTGCTTGCTACCACGAAGCAGAGGATTCATGCATTTGATACTTTGGCGCTGTGAGACAGCGATTGGCATTAAGTAGTTTGCAACAGCTCTCCACTGCATTGAAAAAACTGAATTAGGAAAACATTCTAGAGTGGAGAAGCTATCTGATGAAGCACTATCTGGAAAGGCAACTCACATTGTCCTCCAGGGTGCCATTACACCCAGGTTGAGCCAGCAGAAGTTTGACAATCTCTACATGTCCATGTTCACTAGCACACATCAGAGCTGTAGAACCCTCGTCATCCTGGATATTGACGTCTGCACCACAGGCCAGTAAAGCTTTAACCATGTCTATCCGCCCATGACTCACAGCTAGCATCAGTGCAGTCTGACCAGCCTGCATGGAAAGAAGAGGAAAACCCAAATAACTACACAGACAACCAGTGACAAAGCATGCACACTTTTTTGGCACCGTGCTTCTTCTGGGGGGAAAAAAGATTGCTATTTTATACAGCAATCTCAAGGTTCTGCTTGCCATTATTTAAATACCTTTTATGCATAATATATCCCACATTCACACATCTATTTATGAAATTAATGGAAGACATCGGTTCTATTTCCAGATATCTGGAGTTCCCTGGAAGGAACTAAATGGTGCAGAATTTGTAAATGCATCCCAAAATTCAGTAATGCTTCTTTCATATAATATTCAATCTTCATTTTTAGAAGAGATCCAGACCTGAGGCTCAACTGTTCTTCCATGGCTCCATTTTGTATACAGCAATCAAAAAAACACACACAAATATCAGACTGCAGAGGGTGACAGTGAATGAGTGCAAAAGCTGTACTGATGGAACAGCGATGGGAGCATGGAAGGAAAGATAAAAAGACACGGGACTGCAAATGCTGTCTCATGAACCATTTTACTGACCTGGCTGGCTTTAGCATTCACGTCCCCACAGCTGAACAGTTCCTCCACTATCCTCATGTCCTTCTCTGCTTCCACAGCTGCAAGCGCAGCAAGCATGATGGGAGTATAGCCGGCCTTGTTCTGATGATTTACGTTACAGACATCTGCAGAGGGATGAGATAATTTCTTTGGAAAGCAGGAACTCAAAAAGCAGCAATTGTGCTAATGAACTGAATAAACTGTTAGTAGAGCAGCTTATAAAAAGAAAAGGCAGCAATTGCTCTCATAATGGAAGCAATTCTAGGGAGAGAAGAAAAAAATAAACAGGGGTGCTGGTGCTCTTGAGCCTTAGAAAGAAAAGGATTCTCTTCTACTATGCCTGCAACACAAGGGAAAGCACAAAGCCATTTTATATGTCATTATTTAGGGCTTTCTTTGTGCATTTTTTTTTATTTTTTAAAAGCAAATGGTCTGAAATTTGACATGACCATTGGCGTCATGAGTTGGAACGCTAGGAATACTATCAGGAGAGTCTCTAAGCTCCTCTCTTGAGGGGATCCACACTGCAAAAGAAAAGCAGCTCATCAGCATGGTCAGTGGAAAAGCTGATTCTCCTCAGCACAAACTTTTTCCTGTAACTGGTGTTATTTTAAAGATCTGCAAGTGTACTTTGACATGTTTTGGAGCTATGGAAAAAAACCTTCAATTAAAGACTGTTTCCAGCTCTACAGACTATTTGAGTGTGAAAGAAAGTACTCTGGGAACAAATACGATCAAGTCCTCTGACTACTGCCAGCAGCTGACAAGAGTTCTCCTTTTTATTGAAGTCTAACCTCCAGTCTGTCTCTGTTGCTAAAATTCAGCAGAAATCCAGTGGGACTTATTAGTTTACCAGACAGCAGGGCTTTCAGTGTGCTCATTGTATTGGAAAGCAAGGACTCAGACTTACATAAACAGTAAATCTAGACTTGGGCTTAAATTGCACCACAGGTATCTTAAAAAGCAAAAATGTTTCAGGAAATTCTTCAGATTTATTGCCAAATGCTTTTTTTTTTTTTTCTTTAAGTGAAAAGAACATTGCAGAAGCAATACAAGTGCAGATATAAGAAAACGCATGTTCTGTCATGTTCCATAGATATCACCTGTGCGACCTTATAACCAGCAGCTGAACCTTACTTTCAGAAGTCACTTCTGGGAAGCCACTGAAGCCACAGAACAAGACACTCTGCTACATGCATTTCTTCATGAGTAATGAATAACTATTGCAAATGATGGTCTCCTACCCTAACTAGACTACTTCAGCAGAGGTGTGTTTTCTGAGCTCACATTTCAGCTCCTTTCCTATATGGCAATGAGCAGAGCTGTTTTCCTATTTGTCCCCTTGGTAACACTGCACCGTGATACAGAGGAGCCTCTTGTCTCATCTGCTCTTCCTACCAAACACACTGACATGGAGTTCTTGGACCAAGAATCTGCCTGTGGATATAGCCACATTGCAGAGCTGACTATAGTGACCATTCTGACCTGAAGGAATTTGCCTGTTTGCAAATATTTTCCAAGTGCTAGTTCTGGGGATGTGCAGTGTGCTCCCGCACACCTAGCACTAGTCACAGTTGTTGGATTTTACAGTTAAAACCCGCTGTCTTCACAGGAACACACCATCTGCTGTGAACTACAGCAGTCCCAACTTCCAGCAACAGATTAACATGCTTGTGCTACCCTAAGATACCCAGAAAGCGGAGGGGCAGTTTCCTCCTACCTCCCTGCTGCAGAGCCAGCCTGCTGCATTTCACTGTCCTGACATTCCCTGCATTCCACTGCTGTGACTCACTCTTCCCAACAGGCTGCATTCAAGCAGGTCCAGAGATTTCAAAGCGCTCACTTTCCTGCCGAGGAAATCTTTGCAGTGACAGACATGCGGGTTATCAAAGCTGAGATTTGTAGCATTAATAATTCCCTTGTTTATCTGATAGTACCCTTCTGGATTTGTAAGTGTTGCTAGGCTTACACTGCAGCCACGTTGCTGGTCCAGTTAAGCTTCGTAACCAACTGTGACAGGTTTTATAACTGGTTTAGACTTCAGTCAGGGAGCAAAACTAGGCTTAAATAGATCACCTCCTGCCTGGGACCACCTCCAACGTGTGACACCTTCTGCTGACTGCTTTCTGGCTTAGCGCATGTAGGGAGCAGATATTCTGGAGTCTCCCCTCTGCCACTACCCTCTCTGCATGTGTATGGCAAGGGGATGGAGAGAAGGAAGCAACGACAAAAGCAGCTAAATGAAACATCATCACATTGCTCATGGATCACGGAAATGCTCCTATATGGCAGAATGCCATATTGCTCCAGTTTCTCAGGAAACCTGTATAGTTGTGCCAAGGTGGTGGCCAGAAAAAGCTTCTGTACTGCTCTAGTAAGATAAAGCTAGACTAATTTCAGTGTTTAGGATGGATGTTTACACCTGAATGCATGTTCCTCCACCAGCACCCTACCTTTGGCTGAGCAGCAGCTGCGCTGCCTCCAAAGAAAACTGCTGGAAGCTAGTGCTGCTGAAGTCCAAGAGCCAGGGATCTATCTGTCTGTCCCAAACACTGTTCAACCCTATATATAATTTACTTGAGTGTTTTTGTAACTTCTTCCAAGAGCTATCACCATCACTTCCAAAGCTCACACTAGAAACAAGGATTCTAAACTACCCAAGTGAGCCACCATGTAACTGTTAACAGTTAAAACAGCTGCTGGAGGAGGCCCAAGCTTGACCTCTTGCTTATCAAGAATGCCACCCATGAGGACTGCAAAAACCAAAAATACTTTAAAAAAATATGCGAACAAGTCAACTTACTTGCATCCAGAAGAAGCTTCACAATTTCAAAGTTAGAATGTGAGACGCTGTAATGCAGAGCTGTGTTTCCATTTCCATCTGCCATATTGATGATATGTCTGAGGACAGCAGGAGAAATCTCTTCAAAAGCAGTGATGTAGTCTCCAACCATTTCAGGGACAGCTGACTTCTGACTTGAGACACGAAACCACTCGTGCTGGATGGTATTTAAACAAAACCTCTGCCAAAACCAAGACAGAAGAATTTTCATATGGGCAATCTATTTAAAGGATTTTCCATCCCACAAGTCAGCGATGCAGGAGGTCAGGCCTTTTCCAGTCGAATGTGGGAAGAAAGTATTCAGCTCACAAACACGATGTACAGACTGAAGCTTCCCCTCTGAATAAACCCCTCTTTAAGACACCAGTTGTTCACCTCCTCTCATTTTACCTAATTTTCAGGAATGGTTCACCTCTGAGGGCACAGAATTTGAGGATGAGACTACCCCCCGAGTTAATGGGTATCAAATACTGGTGAACAGAAAAAAGATGTGGAGTAACCATTTCCATGAAATACTTAGTTAAGTTTCTAAAACACTGATGAACCCAAAACTATGAGCAGTTGGAACACACATTTCTTGGGGACTTGAGCATGCTAAATGAATTAGGCCCAATCCCAAGGCATGAATTATCAAGTGGACAAAGCATAGAAGAAGTGGCTGGACAGCAGTTCTGCAGGAGTAGAGCTGGGCATTACAGGGGATCACAAGCTGAACCTGAGACAACAACATCATGCTGTAATGAAGAAGGCAAAAGTTTGGGGGTGAATAAACAGATGTATAGCTTGCACAGCATGTGATGCAGTCCCTTTCTCTCAGCCTAGGACTGTGAAGGCAACAGCTGGCCTACCTTGTCTGGTTCGATCACTGAATGACATGAAAGATTTGGTCAAACAGTTTCAAGGGTAAGCAGCAGGAACGATTAGAAGTCAAGGAAACCTATCAGACCTATGGGACAGACAGGAAGGACTGGAGATGCTGTGCTGAAAGAACAGCTGGGGAAAGGAACACCGTAAGATTTTCACAGTGCAAAATGCTGTTGCAGAGAAAAGAAAACCTCTTCTTCACCTGCAGGCTGGCTGGCTGCAATAGTAAGGGATTTCAGCAGCAATGAGAAGATCCAGGTTAGACATTCAGGATAAACCCTTCCAATTGTTATGGACTGAGGGTGGAAGGTAGGAGACTCTCAGGCCAGATAAACTCTCTTGGGAACACCATAGCAGGTAAAGCAGATCTGTCTGTGAGTCAAGGGGTCTCCTGCCATCACCACTAGCTCTGAATTTCTAAGACAATTTCTCTAACCTGGGAGAATCACCATGTCCTTCTTCTCTTCTCATAAAACCCTGCCTGCAAGGTGGCCAGTAAGTTCAAGGACAATTTTGTAGGTAAGACACTCAGGATGCTTCTCTAGCTTCTAGTGAATACGCAGAGGACCTGTACCAGTAGTTCTAGAGGGGCCCGTGTCTAGTAAAGGGAGAGAATATTCTACACATGTCAGTACTATATATGTATCTGTACTACATATATATATAGAATATTCTACCTCAGTACTACTATATTAAAAACTTACAAGGTCCAACCATTTAAGTTAAAAGACCGTGTGTATAGTGAAATACAGAGCTGAAACACAGAAGTGGTCATGAAGTGACACAATATAAGTTTTAATTTATTTTAGGCACTACTGAGTGAAAAATACCACTAAGAAATAATTTTTACAGTCACAGAATCACATGCATTATTAAGTAAATGGTACACTTTAAAATTCAAGTAATCCATCACACCCCAAAAGGAGCAGTCTGCAGCTCTTTCCAGCATAAACAGCAGCTACAAGAGTATGTTGGAGGAAGTTGGGACAATTTCTATGAATCCTCAGCCATACTGAAGTTTAGTGGTTTTGCACAAGACTTCTTTACGAGCAGACAGACAAAGAAGACAAACTGATTACTCTGCAGTTTCTAGATACAGAGCACTACTGGCAAACATTTTAAGCACAAGAAAGAAACACGCAAACTCAAATTACACTTCAAAGGCAGAGATTATCACCGGGTTATGCCATTTTTGACACTCTAAATTCTGACTGGGCATGAAGCATTTGTTGTTTGAATGCCTAAACTACTCCTCTGAAGGACTAACACTGGAATAAAAACTATCCGTCACAACTGTTATTAAACAGCCTTTTGAAACATTCCCTGGACCACAAATGTGGAACTGCACACAGACAGTATTTGTGTCTGTGTCTTACAGACAATGTTATCGCCTTTAAGAAGCTGCACGTGCTCTATGGTAGAGGAGACTGGCACTGGATTGTTGCCTTTTACATCACTGCACAACTAACAAATACAAAATTTAATTTCATATCACTAAGCAATGTTCCTTTGCTTTCAGACTGCCCTCACAAAGTAGCATAGACAATTCCTATATGAAACAAATACAACCTTATTTCTTGAGACTGAGTATTAACAATGAAACCTTCTTAACTCTCCGTGGCACTGACAAAAGCTACCAGCACAGTAAGCGAGGCAGAAACAGCATGTCTATGCTTAGAAGGCAGCAGAGCATACTCAGTTTCAGAATAGACTTTGAGCTTTTGTCATGGGAAGAAACAGGCTCCTCGTCCCACGCAGTCTCTTAATGCGAGGCCTGAGAGCCGTCCACAGCAGTGCTAAAGCAACATTTACCAAATAACACAGGAATGCATGGATGTGTTGAAACTGCACTTTCATGTTACTATTTTTATGTGTGTGCCTTAGGACAACACCCCAGCACACAAAGCACAAGTACATTCTCTGGACAAAAGTCTCCTGATAGAAGAAGTGCTTTGTGACTCTTCCAGAAAAAGATGAAATCCTCTTCTGCCTAGCCACTGTGGTGCTGGTCCTGCAAAAGCAGAACTTATCCCTTCCTGAAGTTTTTCTGTTGCAGCTCAGAGAGAATTTTGCCCTGCATTACTTACCACATCTTTGTTGGTCAATGCCTTGGGGTCATCAATGTTGTTTCTCAGCAGGTGACAGGCAGAAAGCATCTTTTCACTCAGTTCGTATCTGAGGGAGACAGCAGAATACACGGAACATTTAAATTTTTCTCTCAATGTTTCAGCACAGAAACATTTACCTTTCCAAATGTCACGTGGGAACGAATGTTTCTAGGCAAGTCATCAGCTGCTGCAACGCAGAAGCTGCTCTGGCAGCTCTTCTCTGTGGGGACTCCCTCCCCAGCGAGTGGAGATACTGTCAGGGCTGCGGACATCCATGAGGAGCAAAAATGTGTTTCCCAGATGTACGCGGGAGGAGCAGTGGGAACAGAGAGCAGGCGATACACCACTTCCGGGCTTTAGACTTGGCAAACCTTCTAGTGCAAATTCTCACCTATGGCTCTACAACTGCAAAGCACATATTCTGTGCTTTGATTACTTGATTAACATGATGAAATGCCAATAGTTGTGATGGAAGCCAAATTAACTGGTGGGAAAGTGCACAGGCAGTGCTGCCCTGCAGGCTCCTGCTTTATCCTGTTCACCAGAACCAGACATTCTAACCTCATCCACTCTGGAAATGTACTCTCCTTCTCCAGTCCCCCTTCGTGTTTTCACTTCTGCGCCCCTTCCATCACAAATTTCAAAACTCAGGGAACAGCTAAAAATAAGAAAGCCCATGCCACATGGCATGCCAGGCTGTGGCCAACCATCTCTGCCTACAACCTGCCACAAAGGATAACTGCAATTTTCCAGGAAAATTCTCCCAAAAAGCAGAGAGGCTAACACACTCATGTGTAAAGGTGGGCATTTTAGCCCTCCAGGGTGACATGCCAGCTGCTGGTGCTTCCAGAGCAAGGAAATGCTCTACCACTGCATGGACCATGTTCAGCCCCCCGTGGCCACGTGCCCTGCCTCTTCCCCTCAAAGGACATTGCCAGGGCAGCCAGCTTTCAAAGAACATGCTCCTCAAGTACACATGGCTATCTAAGCTGTCCTGCTGCCCCTCTTCACGATCACCCTTTCTTATGGTAAATACAAATTAGAGAGCTCCTTTGAGAAATTGCCCATCCTTTTATGACAGCTGTAAAATAACAGGCCATCCTACAGTGCTGTATAAATAAAGCTCAGGGCACTTCAAAACTCACAGCTCCAAGGCCTATGAACAGCTTTTAATTATGAATTTCTACATCCCTTTTATTTAGCAGTTGATAAATACAGATAAGTTTGATTCTAAGCTGTATCTCCAGTGAAACATCACATATTAGTTTTGTCTTAGCTCTTTTACCGTTACTATTCCACTCACATAATTTTCCAAGCTAGCACACTTGTAAACATCTGGCAAACCCAGTATCTATGAAATATCCCTTTGATGTCTATGTTTTTGCTTTCCTTTATCAATTCACTAATTAAGAATCAGTAATCACTCAACACACTACTGCTTTCTATGTGCCAAAAAACCCCCCTTGCCTGTCAAATGCTACCTTACATAGCTCATTACCAGCAATTTGAAAAGTACCTTAGACATGAAATACTAAACAAGTGCGTGACAGCAGCCTTAAAGTGTATCAGAGTATATGACCTCATATGAAGTATATGAACTCAAGGTTGGATGACCTCCTTGCTGCTGCACCCCATCGTCTTACCAAGCAGTACGAGCCACAGCTGAAATACTGTGGAAGGTACAAATGCAAGATGTGCTCCCAGTAGGCTGACGACCTAGTCTGCATGGTTCAAGACTCATTTGCTTGCTTACTGTCTCACAGACCAGGCTGTTAACCAACCAGGCATTACCTGCTCCCAAATGAGTACCGTTTGTGACCTGGGAGGGCCTCTGCTTGGGTGGAGCTGCCTGGGTTTCACTATAAATGGACCATTTAAAGGCACTAGGGACAGCCACTGGAAAGGGCACCTTCTGACAGCTTCTCCCTGCTCACGCACGGTCGTTTTGCCATGAAACTGCCTCTGGTTACCTGCTGGAGAAGGAGGGAAGCAGGCAGCACTCGAGTGGTAATGGGGGCTGGCACTTAGTCCACCAGCTCAGGCACAGGCTGTGGCTCACCCCATGCAACCAGGCAGCAGTAACCCCCTTAGAAGTACTCAGGAGAAAGCAAGCAGACTACCTCTCTCTGATTTCCACCTCCTCGGCCTCGCACTCGGCGGGGGGGCTGTCCTTCTCTGCCCCCACAGTGCAGACGTCTGGGGTGCGGGGCAAGGGCTGTCCCTCCTTTGTGTGCTGGCCGCAGGGGTACTCATGGCCCTCGCACTCCTCCTCTGAATCTGAAGAGGAGCTCTCCTCAGAGCTGGAGTCGTCGCTGGATGTTGTCTCATACCTGGAGAGAGAACAGGCAGGCGCTGGGGTGCTTGCTCAGCACCATTCAGCAGCAGTCAGTACCCACCTGTGCTGGTGCAAGGAGAAAAACGTCTTGCAAAGGCTTAGTTGTCCTGTCTTCTACTCAGACCTTTGCCACTCACTGAATTCAGTGTCACTGCCAACTGACACTGTGATTATTATATGCACTGTGTGTAATGAAGGAATAACAACCTTATTTAAACAGAAATCTTAACACTCTGTCAGACCTTGCAGCCCCAAAATGAAATTGCTTTGTCCAGAGTAAACTGTATTGTTGCCTTACGAGGCAGATATAAGCAGGGAAGCTAACAAACCTATCTGAAGACAACAGCCACAACTTTAACATTTTTTCATGTGACAATCCAAAACATTTTGATACTTTAGGTGAACTATAAGTGAGTAGGACAATTATAATGCTGATTGTAACGAACAGTCTTATCTCACCAACCTCGACACCTGATGAATTCATGTACTAAACCTACTCTTCTAATGTAGAACAGTGATTTATGAGTGATAATATTACCCCACTATTAGTAATAAGACTTTTAGCCAATATGCATGAAATTAAGTAATTGTGATATTTAGGCACAAGGCATTTGTACTGAAGAAAAACTAATCTGAGGAAAGGGCTAGAAAAGCTATATTAAAAAAAAAGGTGAAACCATTTTAAAGTTCTTTGTGACATTCTGCAAGAGTAAGTCACATTTTAAAAGATAATCTTCCACACTGCTTTCTGTATTTGTGTAATAAAGTTTCTGTATTAATCTAGTGCAAAGCCAGGAAAGTTAATTCTTAGGCAATGCCATCTCTTGCTGTATTGTTCCATAGCACAATGCTGCACTTGTCAGCTGCAAAAGACATATCAAAGTTTTCCTTACTAAAATATTGCCTGAGAAATGTTCCCAGGGCTCTTTGTTTCATTTTCCTGTGTTAAATTTGGCAGCAATCTAATCTACAGGTACTTGAGACTGATGCCATATATGACTTGACAGCACAAAAGGTTCATAGAGGATTAAGATGAACTCGGTTGTTTCATTCTTTCCTCCAACCCTTAAACTCAGCAAGTGCACCTCAGCTTGCAGGCCAGGCAAAAGCTATACGTAAGCTCCTGGGTTGCTCATCTCCTTCCCAATGTGAAAGTCCTCCAGGGACAGATTTTTTTGGAGACAGGTCTCTTACCCGCCATTAATGCCAACAAACTGCAGGTTCTTCTTGGTGTTGCTCAAATCTTTTTTCCCATCCCTTTTCTTCATGATAGATTTGAGTGTGTTTTCACTATTAGTACATACTGTTGAAAACGGAGACAAAGGACACGTATCAGTGCAAATCTGTAGCCAGCTTTGACTGCAGCAGCTTTAGACAATTTTTCAAGACAAACAGAAGCTGGGCTTTCTAATCTTCTTATACATACAGTCATGGTGTGAGACGTACACTGGAAACATAGAAGAACACTTCCAAAAACAACTCTGGAAACAGAAAGCTAGTTTAGCCTAACTTTCCCGTCTTTCAACATGCTGCTGATCTTTATGATGCTTTAGAAAACCTTAAGAAACTTTTTTTTCTTTGCTATTTGTGAAAGACCTCTAATATTGAAATGGGTTGCTCTGCTCTGTTAAGAAAATCTTAATTCTTGGTGTCAGATGACAGCAGCTCATTGCCAGAACTAATGCGTTAGTACAGACAGCACATTAACAATAACCTATTCAACACGGTGGCGAGGTTCAATCAAGGCTGGTCTTTTAGATTTTAGTATTCACTGAAACAACTTTTAAACCAATCTCTAAGCATAAGACAGGTAAAACATTCATTCAAATTTAAGTTTTTTTTCAAAAAAATTAACCCTTTCTCTCTCAGTACATTTTTATTATGAAGACACTACATGGCGTTTCACTGATGTGCTACTATCTGCCATTTAAAAACTAACCACTACCTGCAGACATAGGTACTCACACTGACTTTTCCTGTAGCCGCATCTTTCCCTGTTTTTGCAATTCTGAGAACCCTGAAAACCTCCTTTAACTGTATTTCATATTCAAACTCCATCAGCACAAAGAAAGGTGGATGTGAGCCAGTTATTACCATAGAGGCCAGAGGCAAGCTGGTCATCTGTCAGGTTAATTGGAGCAAGAGTTTTGTCCTGAGAAGAAAAGGACTTCCTTCCCCGAACAGCTTCCACCAGGGGAGTCTTCCTCTCCTCCTGAGCAGGCACAATGTCCTGCTCCAATTTCAGTGTTCGCAAATTTGAAGTTAAGTGGGCATTTGCAAGTTGGCCGTGAGGGATGTACTCCAAAGTAGCACCTGCCAGAGAAGACAGTAGGCATCATGGAGGAGTCAGACCAAAACATTCCGGTCAATACTGTAATCAACAGGGGGAAAAAAAACAAATTGGGGGGAAAAAAAGGGCAACACTTGTGCACCACAATACTCTTTTCTGAGGATCTAACAGGAAAAGAGTGTGATTGTTTTCAGAAAATACAAAAAAAAAAACAACCTGGGAGTTATTCTTTCCACAAAAACATGTAATACAAAGAAAAACTATAAAGATATTGAATTTGAAATGGATGAAAGGAGTGCTCCTTCCTTTTCCGTCTCTCCCGGTGTGCACAGTGCTCAGGGCAGACTCACTGAGCTTGATGGGCCTGAAGAGTGTGTTCATGGAGTCTGGACGTTCCTTCTACAGGAGCAGTGCCCTTTTCATCTTACTTTTTTTTTAAAGGAATGGCAATTTCCATGAACACAGAAACTTTTCAGGAAACTTTCCTTTTTGCCAGCATTCCACTAATTCTGAAATTTACATACTTTACCCAATTACTAAGGCAACTGCACTAAACTCCCACCACTGAGCTAGTATTTAAATCAAATTCCAATTTTTAGTTGTACACCTTTTTTTTTTTTCTGATTTGTTGGCATCCAGCCATTTTTTCCCTTTGTGTGTTTAAAAGGCAGTGCTAATTACACAGACTTTTACAGATTCCCCTGGAGTTCCTCCAGCTGTGCTATTACAACTGCTCTACAGAACCACACAAATGCTTTTGTTTGTGGAACACACTGTTTTTTTACACACACATTCTTCCTTAAAGCAACCTTGCTAGCATTTCAAGGAAGAGAAAAAAAAAAAGAAAATGTTTCATTTACTTTAAACACTTCTTTCAAAGCTTGCTTCAATCGCATCTGCCTACGTACACTGTGTTTTCCCTTTGTACGCATCAAGAATTAAGCCACAGCCTCCTCATTCAAATAGGTGAATGGCACTGCACAGGATGCTAACATTGTAGTACGGTAAATTCCAAATATTCACTTTCAGAAATACAGCTGACATCTTTACTGCTCTTGATAGACTGCCTTTCCCCCTTCCTGCTTTACCTCAGTACTTTTTTCTTCCTAAAACAGGACATAATGAAGCTGATTTTTCCAAGCAGTTTCCTCTGCTTTGCTCCCATTCCCACCCAAGCCTCTGAGCTCCCAACCGAGTCTCCCAACCACATGCACTTCCAAAGTGCCTTCTCCAGCAGTGAGACCTATTGCCCACTTCCACCACGGCATATGGCTTCTCCAAGCTACAGGGGGAAGCCACCTGCCAGGAAAGGCACAAGGCAGGGTATCAGCAGATGTGTCACTACAGGTAGAGCGAAAAAGCTTCTGCCCTCTCAGGGAAGTGGGGGGTGAAGGCAGCAGCCACCCCAGTGTCCCCCATGCAGGAGCAACCCCTCTGGAGACGTGCCTGGGTGCTCGGGGCAAAATGGGCACCTGTGGGAATCCACAAGGAAGTCCTGCCCTCACTTGCCCATCTCTCCTCACTCACAGCAGTGACTTGGGTCGGGTCTCCTCCCGATGCCGAGCGCCATCCCTCATCCACCAGCCAAGGAGAAGAGGGCTGCCAAGGCGATGGAGCACCGAGCCAAAACCAATGATTTTTATACTTCCTTAGCTGAAAAACAAGGAAATTGCCTCTCCCTCCGCTTGCTTGGAGTAGTGACAGCTACAATTAGAGAGTACTGAACAGAGTGACCGCTTCCCACCACAGCTGGAGGTGGCTGCCTCGGCTGGTTGTACCAGGTCACCCCTTCTGCTCCAGCCTCGCCACCAAGGACCAGAGGAGGGAGTGGAGGAAACCTGCTCTGAAGCAGCAGAGATATGCAAAGCCTCCGAAGGTGCCTTGGTTTACTGTCAGCTGAAGTCTCTCTGTCCTCTGCCAGCCTTTGCAGTCCTCCTCTGAGGGCAGCTGCAGCAACCACAGCGCGTTCTGGGGACAAGGGTGGGCTCGTGCGTGCTGGAGCCGAGGGCAGCGAGCAGGGCACTGACAGGGCCGAGCGGGGTCCTGCCTGACCTGAAC